ATTACTCAGTCATAAAAATGAACGAAGTACTGATATATGGTACGACATGGATGAACCTAGAAAACATCATGCTAAGTGAAAGAAGCCAGACACAAAAGGTCACATACTGTATTTCATTTATCTGAAATATCTGGAATAAATAAATCCAGAGATGGAAAGCATTAGTTTCCAGAGGCTGGATGGGGGGGTGGGGGGGTGAAGAAATGGGGAATGACTTCTTAATGAGAATCGAGCTTCTCCTTTGGGGAAGGAAAATGTTCTACACTAGACAGATGTGATGACAGTACAACACTGTGAATGTACTAAATACCACAAAATTACACACTTTAAAATGGTTAGTTTTATATTCTGTGAATTTTACCTCAATTGAAAAAAAGAAAAGTAACCTGGATCTCTGGTGAGCATTCCAGAGGAAGGCATAATTTGAGTCATTTTTATGTAGGCTTAATTAGGAAAGTGCTTGAATTGCTTTCACAGGTGACATTAAGTCACATCACAAGGGCAGGCTAAAGTCAGAATCATCAGCAGAAGCAGGAGATGTAAATTGTAGAGGACACAGGGCGCCTGGGTGGCTCAGTTGGTTAAGCGTCCGACTTCGGCTCAGGTCATGATCTCATGGCTCGTGAGTTCGAGCCCCGAGTCGGGCTCTGTGCTGACAGCTCAGAGCCTGGAGCCTGTTTCAGATTCTGTGTCTCCCTCTCTCTCTCTGACCCTCCCCCGTTCATGCTCTGACTCTCTCTGTCTCAAAAGTAAATAAACGTTAAAAAAAAAAAAAAAATTGTAGAGGATGCCGGTCTCACAGTATGGTCCCAGTCTTTACTTTTTATAGATGGTACCTTGCGTGGCCTTTATCATGGTTTTGTGTGATCTGGAGCAAGACGTTAAGCTTCTTAAAAGCCCAGTTTTCTCATCTGTAAAAATGGGCATTAACACCACCTACCCAAACAGTTACTGCGTGAAGAATGAGCTAGTATCAGGAATATCCAGCAAGTAGCATAATGCCTGACACAGCAGGGGCTCAATATTATCACGGTAGCCATTAACATTTGCTACCACAACAACCATGGGAAATTCATCACCCATATTCAGTATCCAATTCTTAACTATAATCTGGGCCAAAAGACCCAGAGGTCTGTAGCTAGCCAGCGACTGGAACAGAGGTTTTACAGTCAACAACGACACTAATCACTTCAGGTTTATTTTGTCTGCATCCACACACTCCTGACTCTCTGTAGTTATTTATTTTCTGGCCCATAAAATAATCTCATAATAACTGCCTACTGTTTGTTATGGGTTGAACTGTGTCAAATTAGTATGTCGAAGTCCTGATCCCAGTACTGGAGAATGTGACCTAATTTGGAAACAGAGTCACTGCAGATGTAATTAGCTAAAATGATGTTATGCTGGAGAAGAGTGGGCACCTAATTAAACATGATTAGTGTCATAAAAAGGAGAATTTGAGCACAGACATGCAGCATGGGAAGAATACCTACCAACTGAAGACGAAGGCAGAGATCTACAAGCGAAGGAATATCAAAGACTGATACAAACCACCCGGAGCTGGGAAAAAGGCATGGGATAGATTCTCTCTCATCACCCTCAGAAGGAGCCAACCCTGTCGACACCTTAATCTCTGACTTCTAGCCTCCAGGAACAGAGAGACAATAAATTTCTGTTGCTTAAGCTGCCTAGTTTGTGGTATTTTGTTATCGAGCCCTAGCAAACTAACATACCCACTTACTTGTTTATAAATATCAGGAGACTTTAAGTACCTTTAGGAGGGACCACCTACTGTTTGTCTCCTGTATCTTTACACAGTAGGTACTCAATCTGTGGAACAAAGCTGTCCTACTGTTATTATCATTTCCCTATCTCAGTATATGACAACTCTATTCTTCCTGTTACTCAGGCCAAAAACCATGGAGTCATCCTTGATGCCTTCTTTTTTTTCCAAAACCATCACCCAATCTGTGAGCACATCAGCTTTATCCTCAGAATATATATACAGAATCTTTTTTTTTTTTTAGTTTTTATTTATTTATTTTGAGAGAGAGGGAGAGAGAGAATATCCCAAGCAGGCTCTGCACTGTCAGCACAGAGCCCAACGCAGGGCTGAAACTCATGAACTGGAACTCATGAACCGTGAGATCATGACCTGAGCTGAATTGAGGGTCAGACGCTTAACCGATGGAGCCACCCAGGTGCCCCTATATCCAGAATCTGATCACTTCTTAGCATCCTTAACTATCATGTTGGTCTGAGCCACTACTATCATCACTCACCTGGATTAATTGCAATGGCTCCTGTCTCACTGCTGAAGTGACCCATTCAGAAGCCAGAGTTGGTATAGGTTATTTTAAGATGAAGACATTTGAGATTCAACAGACACGGGAAAAAGCCTTCTTGGAGCTTTCTTCATCTAACTAAAAGCAGCAACTTCTAGGATATGAAGCTGCCATAAACTCTCTCTCCAAGAGTTTTATGGCCATGAAGAAGACAAAAGACCTCTGCACCTACACAAACAAGTATTATCACAAACTTCCTTATCTGTTTGTTCTAAAAACCCACCTGTCTTCTCTAAAGAAACCTATCCTATAAAAGCCGTTTTCTTCTCCCCTATTAAGTTAGGTATATAATAAGCCATATTTTCTAACTACCTTTTGAGTTATTAATCACTGAATGATGAAAAACATCCTGTGTATATGTGTGTTGCATGTGTACATAGCTCTTTTTTCTTGTGCTAATCTGTCTTTTGTCAGTTTAATTCACAGACCCCCAACCACTAACCTCACAGAGGATGCAAAGAACGTTTTTTCTCCTTTACATTGCTCTCCTCTTTCTTTTCTACCATCTGTTCTCCACACAACCACCTTGTTAAAACACAGATCAGATCCCATCATTCCTCTTTTCTATAATGGATCCCTCTGTCACTTTAAGAGTAAAAGCCAAAGTCCTTAAATTATCCTACAAGACCAAACAATGGGTTATCTATAGGATTTGGCTGGCTCCCTGCTACCTTTCTGACTTTATTTCCTATTATTCTTCCCTTCCCTCATTCCATTCTCTGGTACACTGCACTTCTTGCTATTCCTGTTGAACAAAAGGGATTAATAAAATATAAAAGCAATTTATAGAGAGAAATGCTTTGATGGCATCAATTCAAATCTTAACTTTACAAAAAGCCAAAATGTGTTGCACGTTGTTAGGATTAAAAAAAAAAAAAAAGACATCTTTGTTTCAAATTACAAATCACTCCTTAATTAATTACCTTCTTAACTATATTTCTTCCTAAATCTATTTTGCAAATAGCCTGACCCACTAGTGGATCATAAAATTCAACCAGGATTTGTTTTACTGTGAAACAAAAATTGTACAGCAGATGGTAAAGGTAAAATTTATTTCATGAAACTTGGGTCTAATTGGGCATATTAAATCGACTACATAAAATTTATTTCTTATTTTGGGTCAAGGTCAAAAAATTGGAAGACCGCTGCTCTCAAGGAACCTGCAAATGACTAAACACCCTTCCGATTTAAGGTCAACAGCCTTAAAGAATGGAAGGGCGCCAGGCTGGCTCAGTCAGAGAAGCATGTGACTCTTGATCTCAGGGTTGTGAGATGGAGCTCTACTAGATGTAAAGATTACTTAAAATCTTTAAAAAAAAATGGAAAATACACTTTGTCCCTAAGAAATGGTAGTATAATGAGTTGAGATTGAGTCATTGATCAACAAAATCAGCTGGGAAGTTATGAAACAAAAAAATGATTTTAAAGAATCATGATCCTCAGGGTCAAGTATATGAGGAAACTCACCATATTCTCGTCCCTAGATCCTAAACTTTCCTTTTTAAAATAGGCCGTTTACAACCTACAAAGTGATTCAATCCAATTTATTCACTTTATCCTCACAGCAGCTCTCGAGGTGTGGAACGCTGGAGTGATTATCCTCATGTTACAGGAAGCCAGAGATAAATGCCTTGGACAAGGTCTCAAAATGTTCACGCCATGGCTTCCAATTTTGAATAATAATCCACCAGGCTTTCTTTCCTTTGCACCAGAACTGCATACAGGCCTTGGTTAAAATCCCAGCTCTGCCACATACTCTGTAGCATTGGCAAATCCATGCTATGGGATAAATACATCGTTTAAGCCACCCAAAATTAAACGACGCCACTTTATGAAGTTACTTCTAAAAGAACCAGAGCTCCCTCGCCCCGGAACTGTCATTCCGCGGTTCAGGTCCCAGCTCCAGAGGAACCCAGAGGCCTGAAGGCTCACGGGGGCGGGGCAATCGAAATTGTAAACAATGACGGCCTGGCCTCCTACATTCCCCTTACAAACCCGGAAGGCGAGCCGCGTGATCCCAATCTCCAGGGGCAATCACGGATTTTGATTTGGGCCCCCGGATACTCTGTGCAGCCCAGGGCCTGTGCCCCCCCACTCCCGGCCAAGGACCGACAGAGTCTGGGCCTGGGACTCCCTCCTGTTGCCCTCCCCCAAACTACACGTCCAACGGAGAGATCAGATCCTGGACTCACCCAGCTGGCGAGGGAGAAGACGCCCAGCACAGCCCCCATGGTGACGCCTGGTGATGGAAGCGGCCGGTCGGTAGGTTTCTAGCGCGGTGGTAACTGCCAGTCGAGGCGTCTCCCCAGAAACGCGACGTTTTCTCAGGCCGGAAACGCGCGAGTTGCGTCATTGCGCGACCCCGCCCACCGCCCTCAGCCGCTGCTGCCCGAGAGAGCCTCTGTCATTGGTAGAGGGAGAAGGCGGAGCTAAATCGACCTGGTCGTATACGGGAGGCGGGGCTAAACCAAGCCAGAGGGGAGGGAGGAGGCGGGGCTAACCTGACCCGTCGCTGAGGGAGGAGGCGGGGCTAACCCGCCCGGCGGTGAGGGAGGAGGCGGGGCTAAACCGGCCTGGAGCTAAGGGAGAAGGCGGGGTTAACGCCGCCTGGCGCTGAGGTGGGAGATGGGGCGAAAGCGGCCCAGAGCGGCAGGAGGTGTGAAGGCTTTATTCCTTCACCTCACTTGTATTCACTGGGAGCCCGTTATGTGTCGAGATCTGAGGTACAAAAACACACAGGAATTTATGGCCTACTTAAGAGCCTGACACCGAACATAAATGCACCGTGACACACGGTGATGAGTACTCTGAAGAAGTAGTATGAGGGAATGTCCTTTCAATAAAAGCTTATTTATTAACGCTTACTATGTGAGGGGAGAATAATGTGGTTGGGGGTGTGTTTTAATCCGTTAAAATTACACACACTGGAAGGGTGTTCTGAGGAATTTGTATTTAATCTGAGAACCGAAAGATGAGTCCAAGCTAATCGGGGAAAGATGAGCGTTGTTTCTTAAAATGCGGAATCTATATACCACTTGGGGTAAATGGGAGGGCCTTGGGTGCATGAACACATTAGGTAACGCTGAAAAAGGCAGAGTGAGCAAGTCCGGTTTCAAACCAAAGAGGAAAGTTCGTTCGCCGCTAGTACCTAACTGGTTTCTAACATTCGCTTGCCTCCATTTTTGACAGAGCGAAGGCTTCGTTTTCCAGGTCTCTCCAAAAGGTAAGCCCATCTCCAGGTAAGGAACGTTGTTTTGTTTTAGGATCAGTGTGTGTGCTTGCAGAAATCCGTTCATTTGTAGCAAGCCGTGTTCCCGAACCCCAAGTTCGGCTGCCCGTGGCTCCAAAGGCCAATACTCAAGAGGTGAGTTTTGCTTGGAAAGGAATATGAATTTTATTCAGGAGGCTGGCCACCTGAGGAGAAGGCAGACTCTTCTCCAAATGCGGACTCCGCCGAGGTTTCTGCCTGGCCCAGGGATTTTTCAAGGGATTCAGGGCAGGTCATCGGTACAGGGAATGCAGTGTTCCCAACATTTCTCCATTATGTGCAGACTTGCTCGTGCCAGCTAGAGACGTTATCACTGCTCTGGGAGATTGTGCAAGGGGGTCTGGTTCCTTAGTGCCTGGGGATTGCTGCAAGGGGGTCTGGTTTCTGTTTCGTGACTTGCAGAAGTGCTGTCCTTTCTAGAAAGAGTGCATGGTCTCTATACCAAAAAAGGTGAGTCAGCCAATCAGTGGGACTGAGGGTGTTTGCTGAAGTTTAGATTACTAGGTTGGCCACACAGGCCGAGGCCGCTTCAGCAACGCTGGTTGTCCATTTAAGAAGTGATGTAAATTTTGCTGGGTAAATTTAAGTTAAAACTGGGAGTCTATTTTAAGAAAAAAAAATTGGGAACTGTTTCACTTATATATATAACAGTGCAGGTGGTATGCAGATATGGCAACAATGATGAGAGGAGAGTGTCATACAAATGACTAAGTAGGGGAACATTTACCTGGGAATATAAGAACCTGTAGAGTTTGGCATCCTAAAATATTTAGATTGGAAGAAGCCTTAGAAATATCTGAATCTGTTTTTTTACAGAAATGGAAAAAGGCTCAAAGTGAAATGGTTTACCCAAGGCCACAGAAAAGGTTGATGGCAGAGGAAGGAGAATTACTTAAGCTTTCCTAATTCCTACCTGAGCTCTTCACCCAACCCCCACCCTTACCACTCAATACCTGCCCAAGTGGAGTTGCCTCATGGTCACTGAACCTTTCAGGTAACCCTTAAATCCTTACTTCTTCCTGTTTGGGTACTGCTGGACTGGCCTAAAGAAAGCGAAGACTGTAATGAAGTCCGTGATCAAATCCCCTCAGGGACATACCTATACTCAAAAAAAATACCAGATTTATTTAGCGTGTACAGCAAAGGAGAATTCACATCAGAGAAAACATGAGGTATCTCTCTAAGAGGGAATTGGGAAGAGCTTGTTGTAGGATTTGGGTTTGTGCTGCATATCTGTAAGGAGGGTTTAAGCAAGTGGGGAACAGTTTTGAATTGGATACAGTTGAGAAGCAGGGGCCATTGGATGGTTAGGTATCTCATTGGTTTACCCAGGAGGTGGGAGGATTAGAGCAGAGCCAGAGTTATGATTGAGAAGGAAGCAGGACCCACTCGTGGTAGAAGAGGAGAATATTGTCATATTTGTGATTCCACAGCAGCCTTGTCTGCTATTTGTTTACATTCTGTGAGCGCTGCTGTGTACATTCAGCGAGGAACACCAGGTCTACCTGGCAGCTGAAGACTTTTCATTTTCTCATCTACCCAACTGCGCGATCTTGCCAATCTCTCAGTGTTTCTGACCCTAGTGATTAAGTGTACCTCATCTAGGTGGCAAACATGGGGAAAGCCGATCATCTGCTCCAATTTCCCACGTCATGCAGGAACCCCTCGCATTTCCTCTAGGTTGGGGAGCTCACTGCTGCCCTAAGGCAGCCCCTCCTGTCTTTACATGTTGATTGTCAAAACTAGGTTGTTTCTTCCCTTGTAAGGGAGGAAGTTTTTCCTCTACCCTCTGGATTCACTGATTGGGCAGGGGAGGCCTGGAGGTTTGTATACCATTCTGACAAAGGATGATACATTTTAAATTTGTAGAGAAGTTCTAAGACAATGAAAAGCAGTTTAGGCTATTAGGGAGGTAAAGCGGGAGAAATTAGTGGAAGGATTGTTTTAGTAAGGTTTATTATGTAGATCCCTCTCTTGATAAAAGTCCAGAGTTATCTCCTGTTTAACTTCTGCTCTTCCTGATGGAGAGGGTGGGGGTAACATCTTCACAAAGGGAAATTCATAAGGATGAGGGCAGAGAACTTTTCTGTGTCTACTTCTCAGTTGTTTTCGGCTTGAAATAATTCTTATTTCAAAGTGGCATGTTCTGGGGTGGCATATTCTAGTCCCACACATTCTTATATATTGTTCGAAAAGATACTATGGGTACTTGGTTTTTAAAAATACTGCATAAAAGTACAGTGAAAATGTATTACCTTACCCCCTCACCTCCCAGATCTCTTTCCAGAGTTTATAGATGCATATGCCATGGTTCTATGTATTATCTATCATTCCCTTTTTACACATGGTAGCATTCCAACCACATAGTGGTGCATATTGCTTTTTTCACTTAACTTATTCATTTATTCAGTAAATATTTACCATGCTCTTACTATGTGCCAGGCAGTTCCCAGTGATGAGAAAACAGCAGGGAACAAAACAAAATGCCTGCCTTTTAAAGAGCTTATGCTGTAGTAAAAAGAGACAAGTAATAAACAAATATAGGGGTGCCTGGGTGGCTCAGTTGGTTAAGTGTCTGACATCGGCTCAGGTCATGACCTCAGGGTTTGTGGGTTCGAGCCCCGCGTGGGGCTCTGTGCTGACGGCTCAGAGCCTGGAACCTGCTTTGGATTCAGTGTCTCCCTCTCTCTCTGCCCCTCCCCTGCCTGTGCTCTGTCTCACTCTCTCTCAAAAATAAATAAATGTAAAAATATATATGTATTTTTAAATAAACAAATAGAAAATGTCAGATACTGACAAGAGCTGGGAAGAAAAATAATAAAACAGGCAAGGAGAACACAAGAGTTGGTTGGGGTCTGCTATTTTAAATAGTCAGGGCAGGTGTTTTTGAAGACCTGACATTTGAACAGAGATACTAAAGAAATGAGGAAGCAAACCACAGAGGAAGAGTGGTCCCGACATGGAATAGCAAGAGGAAAGGCCGTGAAACAGAAGCATGTGTTAAGTAACAAAATTCAACCCAGTAAATTTGAAGATGTAGTTGGTTTTTTTAAGGGATTCATCAATTGAGTGTTACTCCTCCAGCAAGTAGAGGCACTCCTTGAAGTTCTACAAAATGGAAGCTTTTACAGAAGGAGAGTGGGGGCAAAAAAGTTATTAGAAGAAAAGGATTGTCGTAGACAGGCCACTTTCTAGGGGAAAAGCAAGTTGTCTTATGCAGATTACCTCATCCTTCTTTGGGGTGTGGAGAGGGACCAGGTGGCAGACTCTGGTGAGGATTAAAAAATTCCTGGCTGACTGGCTAAGACTACATGCCTGGGGGAGGTTGAAACTGCAATTAGACTACATATTGAGCACACGTTTGGGAATTCTGTCTAAGCGACACCCTTTTGGGCCTGTGTGTGTGTGTGTGTGTGTGTGTGTGTGTGTGTGTGTGTTTAAAAACATGATTTACTTAAAAACAAGGCCAATGTGGCTGGAGCATGAACAAGAGGGGAAATGGTGAGAGATGAAGCTGAACATGGTGAACAATTCCGGATTTTATTCCAAATATGATGGGAAGATTGTTGAAAGATTTTGAATAGGGAAAGGACATGATCATGTTTACATTTTAAAAAGGACATTTTGGCTTCAGTGTGGAGAATAGACTGGGGCAAGGTTGGTAAGTTGGAAGTAATAGTAGATACAAAGACAGGACTAGTTTGGAGACCATTGGTGTAAACAGAGCTTGAAGACAGGTCTTTATCTAGACTTTATTTACATCTTTATTTCGGTCTCTCTTAATTCTTGCTGTAGAAATTCATTTTATGGGTGCATCTACCGATGGACATTTGGACTGGTCTCAACCAGTGTGCTTTTACAAACAGTGGAGCAATGAATATCCGTTGTGCCCATGTTTCAGTATATTTGCAGGGTTATTTCAAGAAATATAATTGCTGATCAGAAGCTAAATTTGCCATATTAAAATGCAATCTGATGATCTAATTCTCACCTTGAGCCCAAAGAAACAAGTTTATTCATTCTTTGCCACACCACCCCTTCTGAGATTAAAGGGAAACGCATCTGCCACTCCTCCCACATCAGTTTTCTTGTCTTTAAATATTCCCAGTCTAGCAAGCTTCCGCCTATGGCCCCGTTCTCTCCTCCAACTGTCCCCGTATCTGGTTACAGAGAGATAAACCGAGGCAAAGGCGGGATCCGAGGTACAAGTCCCCACCCCTCCCCCGCCTTACTGTTTCCCTTTCCCTCAGCATTTCTTTCCTTTCCTTTTCTCCTGGGGCCTAGTTTCAGGCTGCCAAACCCCACCTTGGTCCCTCACGGCTCAGGACCCCAACTCCCACTCCCTTTCCCTCCTCTGGCGGCTCTGGGGCCGCCGAAGGGGACGCGAACCGTCCCGGTCCCTTCCGAGCCGCCGTAGCGCCCGCCGCGGGAGTTCGGCAGCTCCGGTCGCCAAGGCAACGCGCTCCGCTGCGCGCTGCGGGCGCCAAGCAGCCCGGCGGAGGCGCAGCGGGCCGGCGGCGGCCCCGGCTCAGCGAGGCGGCGGGACTGCAGGTGAGCAGGGCCGGGCGGGCAGTCGCGACCCAAACGCGCCGCTTCGGCGTCGACTCGTCGCAGCAGACCTGGGGCTGGAGCGCGGGGGACCCCCGGGAAGGAGGCTGGGGCCAGACCTTAATCCCCTGCGCCGCGCCGGGGCGGCACCCCCTCCTGCCCTGCAACCCCACTTGGCGCTGGCTTGGAGTGCGCGTTTGGCTGTTTACTGTATTTTGGGCCCATTGCTCCTTCTGACCTGCAAGTTTCTGAGAAAAAGAAAACCCCTCTTATTTGGGTGTTGGGGAATAACTCAAAACTGCGGAAAATGTGTGTCGGTGCGACTCTCCTGGGGCCAGAGAGGATTGACTTCATTGTACATCAGTTTTCCCATCTGCAAAATGGGCATAATAATAGCTGTCTTATAAGGCAAACTAAATTTATATTTAAAACCCTTGCAGGTAAGTTCTCAATATCTTGGAGCTTTTATCAGTGCTACTACTACAAGGAAGTCCATCACTGAGCATGTATTGTGTGCCGGGGCCTGGGCTGATCGCCACGCCACGGGTGGAGTGAATGAGACGTCTTGTCCTCAGGGAACTCCACGGTTTTACCGTATAAACAGGAATGCATTGTGCTTCAAGCTGTGGTTTTGGACATACAGGGGACCGTGAATGCCTAGAGAAGGCAGTTAACTTAGATTTCAGGAAATGAGGCTAGGGAAGGTGGTCAAAGAAGATGACTTCCAAAATGAGACATGAAGGCTGCCTTTGTATTGGCCAGATGAGCATTGTGAAGTGCACAATGTTCTAGGCAGAGAGAGCTGCATGTGCAAAGCCCCAGAGCTAGAGTGCAGCCTTTTTGGGCATCTGCAAGGATTTCATAGGCTGGCTAGAGACAGATGCCAAGAAGTGGAAGTGGTCTGGCTAGATGATGTTTGAGAGAAAAGCAGGTGCTGCTTCAGAACGACTTTCCTTGTATCTCCTTTGTAACTTCTGAAGAATTTGGATTTTAGCTTGGGGGCATTGGGGAGCCATCAAAGGATTTTAAGCATGCAGTAAGTGTGTGTTGTATGTTGCATGTGTTTGATCAGAGGTATGGTTTCAGAAAGATGGGGGGGAGTTGTGCTCCTTCTCGGTCTTCATTCCTCTTATCTGTTTTTCACATTGCAGCCATTCATTTATGGCAATTCAAAGAATATTTATCAAGCGTCAGTTATGCACCAGGCATTGTGGGGGCAGTAAGGACTCAGATTCCTGCCCTCACAGCATGCATTCCAAACATGTTCCAAGGTACACTTATGGGGTATAGTACATGAATCCAGTACAACTGGAAACTTAACATTGGAAGAGAACCATCAAGAGAGATTTGAAAAAAAGAAAGAAAAAAGGCCTAGATCATTTGAGGCCACTGTGTTGTACACTCTTGGAAGAAGGGTTCATTTAGACTATACTAGGAAGGAATGGC